CAGCAGCATAAGAACCTGAGTCAGGTTCCCAGCACCTACCTGGGGTTGGGGGTGGGGCTTACAACTAACTGCCTGGAGCTGCAGTTGGGGGGGGGGGTCTGATACCACCCTCTTTTGGCGTGGGGGGGTTGGTAATCTGCCCTCATATGTACATAGCCACACAGAGACACACATAAGTTTTTAGTTTTTAATTAAAAAAAAAAAAAAAGAGCAGGGCGAGTGGTGGCACATGCCTTTTAGTCTCAATCCTTGGGAGGCAGAGGCAGGTGGAGTTCAAAGCCAGCCTGGTCTACAGAATGAGTTCCAGGACAGCCATGGTCTACGCAGAAAAATCTTGTCTCATGAAAACCCAAAATAAATATTTTTTTAAAAAATACTTTGATAAACTTGTTCCCTGGATGAGGAAATGGCTCAGGACGGTTCTCCAGGCTGAGTCTCTGAGACATTTGCATTTCAAAAGAAATCAACCCTGAAATCTGAAAGTGCATCACTCTCCATGCAATTTCGGTTGCTAATGAGAGCAGCAAAAGGCTTTGCCGGAGCTTGTGTCTTTCATGTTCGTGTCGTTTAAGTAGAACTGGTAGAAACTAACCATGTTCCCTCACTCAGCACTGAACGGCTGCTTCCCCGGGACCCTCCAGGCTCTCAGAGCCAGGACCTTTTGGAGTCGTTTGTTTGTTGTTTGTTTTGGAGCCAACATACCTGGCTGGGCAGAAATATATTCTGTCTCTCAGTCTCTCTCTGACAGAGTCTCATGTGGCCCAAGTTGGCCTCAAACTCTGTATATAGCCAAGAATGACCTTGAACTTCTGATCTTTCTGCTTCGAGAGCTGGGATCATAGGTGTGTGCCATGAAGCCCAGTTTTATTCAGTGCTAGGGACTGAACCCAGGGCCTCATGGATGCTACATGCTCAGTGCCTCAACTCACTCAGGCTAGCTATGAAGGGTGCCAGGGGCTCCTAGGAGAAAGCTACTGCGTCTGCGGAGTCAGGGTGGGATGCAGTCTCTCTTCCAACTCAGCCTTCATCTTGTACCAGCGGCACCAGGAATGAGGCTGGGGCTCTGCAGAATGAAGTGTCTGTCTTCAGGGGTTAGGAGGAAGCTTCTGAGACCTCAGAGTCCCCTCCAGGTCATAGTTCTGATCCGGCTACTCAAGAATCCCAGCTCTGGGGCGTGCAAGCTGGCTCAGCAGGGAAAGGCACTTGCATACAAGTCTGGCAACCTGAGTTGATCTCCAGAAGCCAGGTCAAAGTGAACAGGGATAGCTGAGTGTGGCAGTCCCCACCTTTAATCCTAAGCACTTGGGGTGAGGGGGATAGAGGCAGATCTCTGTGAGTTTGAAGCCAAGCAAGTTCTACCTAGCAAGTTTTAGGACAGCCAGGACTAGATAGAAAGAGCCTGTCTCAGCGGGAAAGAAAAAAAAAAAAAAAAAGGAAAATGAGAACTGACTTGTTGTCCTCTGACCTCCAAATACAGCCATGATGCACACACCTACACAATACATTTTTTAAAAAATTCTCTACAGTCTAGCCAGGAATCAAACCTGGGGAGGTCAGAGTTCAACTTTGGTATCTTCCTCTATCTACCAATTTCCTTTTATTTTTGAGACAGAATCTCATGATGTAGCCTTGGCAGGCTTGGAACTTGCTATGTAGATCAGGCTGGACTGGAACTCGAGGACCTCATAGAGATCTGCTTGTTTCCATCTCCCGAGTGCTGTGATTAAAGGCATGCACCACCACACCTGGCTTCCACCGTCATTTTTTCAGACAGGTCTTGCACTGAACCCAGAGCTCGCCATTTCTGATCTATGGGCCAGCAAGCCTCCAGGATCTGCTTCTTCCTCCCTCCTCGTAGCGCTGAGGTTACAGGCACATAACCTCATACCTCTGCACTTAGCTTTTATGTGGGTGATGAGGGTCTGAACTCGGGTGCTCGGCCTTGTGCCATAAGCCCCTTTCCCACTGGGCCTTATGGCTGTTTGGGCTTCTAGCTACAGATGTGGGAAGCATGCCTCTTTTTCCCCCTCTTGGGGACCCAGAAACTGCTCTCAAGGCTTTAATGACACCCCTCGATGATAGTCCTCTAGACTTCTCCTCAGTTCATGCAACACCGCTGTAATCCATCTGTTTGCCTCCCAAGACAGGAAATTTGCTGTGATTTGCTCTTACACAAGCTCCTAATGAACACTAGATTATTTTCTCCCCCTGCCCCCTGGAAATTTGTGTTTGTTTTGCTGAACTGGAGCTCAAGCCTTGAGCCTGAGGCAGGCCAGGCAAGGGCTTGACTGCTGAGTCCCAGCCCCCGCTCTGAAAGTGTTCTTGTTGTTCTGTTTTTAGTTCTTAAAGACATACACGGTTCCGAGCACCACAGAAGACAGAGGGACCGTCACTGAACGGGGAACACCCTGGGATACACCTGCTGGGATAATGCATTTGATTGCTTTTACGCCATATCCCCTTAGCCCAGAGGTGTCAGCTGGGACAATGGGGTTCTCATATTTCCAATGCCCCATTCTGTCTACACCTAGGGTCTCTCTATTTTGCTTTTTGAAGCCATAGCAGGAACAACCCAGAACTTACAGAGTAGAATAACCTTCAACCAGTAGAGAGGGGCAAGCAGCAGCTAGGGCCCCTTCTCATTTAGCCCAGGCTGGCCTTGAACTTGCTATGTAGCTTCTGCTTTCCAAATGCTGGGATTACAGGTATTTACTAGCAAGCCCAGCTCATGAGTTGTTGGAGGATAGAGCCCAGAGCTTCCTTCACACTAGACAAGCAAGATCTACCAACTGGCCTCTGCCCCATCTCCTTTTCTTTCTGCTGTCTCCCCACGCCTCACCTCTGCTTCCCCGAGGCCACTCCCAAATAAACTCTCTGATCCTAAATCCTTGTCTTAGGGGATGCCGCTAAGAAGGGAATCCAAAGAAGATGATAATGACTCTCACTGTATACGAATTTCATTCACAGATAGATGATGGAGATAGATAGATAGATAGATAGATAGATAGATAGATAGATAGATAGATAGATCCAGTAATAAAACTATGTAACTTTGCATAGGGGGATTATTCTGCATGCACTCTAAACTCTGCTTTTTAATACTCGTTTAACGTGTTTATAATATAAACTCGCATAACATAATCAATCCACAGTAGATGATGGACACATTTCCATGTCAACAAACACAATCCTAAGCACAGTCTGTCTCCCCACCTCCCCATGCTAGGGACTGAACTCACAGCCTCTTGCGCCAGTTAGCCCCACCCCCAGCCCCTAAGTGCCTTCGTTAATGACATCACTGCAGGTGCCTCTTATCTTTGACTTAATTTATTTAGTTTATCGTGTCTAGGCAAACACACGCAGACTTTGGAGGTGTGCAGAACGGCTTCCTCTGCAAAACGCTCTTGCTTTCTCGTCTCTCAAATGTTCACTATGCGTTCAGTGATTTTCCTCTGGCATCCTAAGAGGCCAGCATTGCATTTGAGCAGTTTAGTGGGTTTCAGAGATTATCTTTCCACCTTTTTTTGAAAATCAGGACAGGTGCCTATCTTCAGGACTTTTTTTTTTTCTCCCCTTTCATTTGCTGTCATTTCCTCTTCAGCAACGATCCTATCTGCAACTGCCTCTGGCTCCCTGGGATGCCATGTGTCCAGGTTTTGAAGGGTGAGCTCACTGGCTGCAGGTTGCTCAATGCTTTCTGTCCATCACACCCCTCGGGGTTTTTTCTTCTACTCAGCTCAGTCAGAAGCCCCAAAGCTCCCAGCCCTGAGCAGATCTGGCCTCTTCCCAGCACTCTTTGCTCTGTTTGTGCTTCTGCGCTCTGGGGTTTTCGGCACTTTGCTAACCGTCCTTCTTACAGATTCTAGGGATCTTCCAACTCCATCCCGGGTTACACATTCCTCCTGCATCTTTTTCCCAGCTCCTTGGCAAGCTGTCAGCGCACCTCCCATGATTGCCTGTAAAATCCCCTTTTTATTCCCCATAGTGACCCCTGCAATTACTCACTGGAACCCCAGAGCTTTCAACAGCTTTCACTTACTGGTATGAATATGTTCAATGCACCCTGTCTCAATCTATCTTCACAACCCCCACCCCACCCCACCCCTATGAAGTCCTATTGCGTGTTAGTTCTTCTATCCACCAGCTGGTACAGAAAGGCTTGGGCACCATCTCAGAAACACCCAGCAAGTCAGTGGACCAGCCCTCAGTCCTCTAGTTTCTTTATCTAAATATAACTCCCTTTGTCCACATGGACGGAGATGGGAGGCTGGACCCTCACCTGATATGGCTGAAGCCAGCACACTAAGCTTCGGGCTATTATTCCTCCTAGGCTCTGAGTTTGGGTCCTTTCCTAGGGGAATCATGGAGGCCACCTCCTCTAGGAGTCTATCCCTCTCCCGAGCCCAGCAGCCAGCTAAGTTGGTGACAACAGTTCCCTACAGGTAGTACCTCAACTATCCTCACCTGGTCACAAAAGAGCTCCTGTTTAGGGATTAGAGATGGTGTGCGCACGCACCCACAGACACGGGGGGCCTCCCACCCCTTCACACACACGCACCCTGGACATAGAGGCACCCACACATCACTCTGCCATCATCTTCCCCGTATCTCTGTGTCTGTCTCCCTCTCGGTGTCTCTGGTTCCCTGTCTCTTGTCTTTCTGTCTCTCTCACACACATACACACACATACGCAAATCTTTCCCCCTCCCAACCCCATGAACACAGAGGCACCCTCAGATCTGTTTCTATCCTTCTCTCACGGTCTTTGCATCTTTGTGTGTGTGTGTGTGTGTGTGTGTGTGTGTGTGTGTGTGTGTGTGTGTGTGTGTGTGTATCTCTTTGTCTGTCTGTCTGTCTCTCTCTCTCTCTCTGACACGCACACATTAGTGTCTGTCTCTGGCTGCCAAGGTACAGTGTCTCTTCTCCCTGGCCGCCCCCCAACCACTGTCCCCGGGTCAGTAGCCTATCCCACCCTGACTCCCGACCCTAGTGACACTCACCCTCCATACTGTCTGCTCCGGGACACTTTTCAGTGGAGGTGGGCACCTTCGGGCGGATGGGCTGGGGCAGAGAGGCACCAGGGGTCTGGGTGGCCTACCCTCGTCCCCGCTTCACCGGGTCGCTCGCAGGCGGGCAGGGGGCGCTCACTCCCTTGGGGTTCGGGGTGCAGCGCCCTCGCAGCGCTGCGGTCCGCCGCCGGACTCTGCCGGCCGCCCGCCCCGCGCCTCGCGGGTCTCAGGGAAGGAGGGGGCTGGCGCGGCGCCGTCTCCATGGCACCCGGCACACCTGTGCGGCCGGGCGAGGGCGCCCCGTGCACCTCCCGCTCGGAACTCTCCCCAGGACCCGCACCCTCCAAAGTGCGGGCGGTGCCCGCCGCAGCCCTGGCGGACACACACCAGCCCTCTGTCCCCACTCTACGTGGCTGGAGAACCAGCCTGGTCCGCACTCACCCACCATGATGTCCAGGACTCTGACTCTCCTGAAGAGGCTACGAGGTCGCTGTCACTACACAGGAGGGACCTCCGGAGAGAAGCCGGTGAGCGAGCTCTTCCTAGTGAACGGGAACAAGATGTCTGATGGACGACCCTGGGTTCCGAATCTCCTGGACCAGGCACTCACCAGAGGAGTACGCTTGGGCAAGTGTCTTATCTGCACTGAGCCTGAGTTTCTGCATCTGTGAAGTGGTTCTGAGGGAAGCAGATGTATGTGCACGTTTCTGCCCAGCATATAGTAGATACTCAATTAATGTCCCCCTTACTGGACTGGAGAGCACTCCCCTGGCCATCCCCAGGCCCCAGCAGACAACATTGCACTTCTGCCGCGTGGATGAAGATCCCCGGGTTCTAGACCAAAGAAAGTGAATGACCACTCCTTCCTTTATCAGGAGTCCAGGTTTTGTTTTCTTTTATGACTTCTGAAATATCTAGAGACTGACACTCAATCCATTTCTGCATTAGAATCACAAGGGGGCGGGGGGGAGGGTGAGGACAATAGTATCAGCAATAGGCTGGGAGTGGTGGAGCACACCCTTTTAAATCCCAGCACTTCGGGGGGCAGACAAACTGAGTTTGAGGCCAGCCTGGTCTACATAGCAAGTTCCAAGACAGCCTGGGCTACAAAGTGAAACCCAGCCTCTAAAACAACAAAAGATGTCCTTGCCTGTGGGTGACTCACCAGATGAACTCCCTTGATCCTTTGAAATGGTGAGTGCCACTGTGTCCCATCCTGCTCTCATCTCCCTGAGGCTTGCAGGTACCGGCTGATGGAAACCTCGTTTTATGTCCCGGTCCCTTCCACGCCTCCACCTCTAGCCCATCACTGAGATGCATCCCTGAGCATCCTCTCACTGAGCATCTAGCTCCTCTCCATTCCTCTGGCTGTGCACCCTGCCTGGTATTCCGGTCTACCTTTCTCACCTGCCCATCAACCATCCCTTGCCCCACCCACTGCTCTCAGCTCTCCAACAGCTCTTAGGCTGGTGGTTCCTAAACTTGCCCTGAACTTTGGAGCCACCAGAAGATTTTAACACCCACCTTCTCCTCCCTCGGATGACACCTATCCCAATTAAATTGGAAAGTCTGGGGTGGCGGCGAGGAGAGGAGAGGTGTGTGAAGCTCCCTGGCAATTCCAGCACACAGCAGGAGAACCACTGCCTGGTAACATTGCTGTCCTTGTCCCTCTCTGTGCCTGTCTTCCCAGCTGCTCTGAGGTCCCCCCCCCCCCCCAGTCCTCTCCACACACTCTCATAACAGAATGCCACAGGCTGGAGAGCTTCACAATGGAAATGTAGTCCATAAGGTTCCGGAAGCTGGTAAATCCAAGATAAAGCATCAGGCATCCCCTGGGGTTAGTCTTCCCCACTTCTCAGGACTCTGTCACTGTCTTCTCACTGTACACACACACACACACACACACACACACACACACACACACACACACACCTGGCTGCCTCTCCACTCCCCCTTCGTGTGTGTGTGTGTGTGTGTGTGTGTGTGTGTGTGTGTGTGTGTGTGTGTGTTAAAAGGAGCTTTCTTAAGCTGGACATGGTGGTGCATTCAGGAGGCAGAGGCAGGCGGATCTCTGTGAGTTCAGGGCCAGCCTGGTCTACAAAATGAGTTCCAGGGCTGTTACACAGAGAAACCCTGTCTCAAAAAAAAAAAAAAAAAATGGGGCGGGGAGATATTTTTGTGGGTTTTTTGTTTTGTTTTTAATTTTATTTATTTATTGTTTTGAGACAAGATCTCATGTAACCCAGTTGGCCTGGACCTCACTATGAAGCCTTGAGGACCTACCTCAATATGAAACCCTGAGTTTCTAATCCTTCTTCCATCTCCCTAGTGCTGGGATTATAGGTGTGTGCTACTGTACCTGGTCTATGTCCTGTTGCAGATGGAACCCAGGGCTTCCCGTTAGGCAAGTACTCTACCAACTGAGCTATATCCCCAGCTCTTTTAAATTTTCTTCTTTGTTTTTGAGACAAAAAAAAAAAAATCCCACTGTGTAGCCCAGGCTAGCCTCAAGTTTAAGATCCACCTGCACCTACCTCAAGCCTCTCAAGTGCTGAGATTACAGATCTCTCTCTCCCTCTCTCTCCCTCTCTCTTATTTTTTTTAATTTTATTTATTTATTTATTTATTTATTTATTTATTTATTTATTTGGTTTTTCGAGACAGGGTTTCTCTGTGTAGCTTTGTGCCTTTTCCTGGAACTCACTTGGTAGCCCAGGCTGGCCTCGAACTCACAGAGATCCGCCTGCCTCTGCCTCCCGAGTGCTGGGATTAAAGGCGTGTGCCACCACCGCCCGGCTTCTCTTATTTTTTAATTTAAAAAAATTTTTTTTTTGGTTTTTAGTTTTTGGTTTTTTGAGACAGGGTTTCTCTGTGAAACAGCCCTAGCTGTCCTGGAACTTGCTCTGTAGACCAGGCTGGCCTTGAACTCACAGAGATCCACCTGCCTCTGCCTCTGCCTCCCAAGCACTGGGATTAAACCACCATTGCCCAGCTTCAGATGTGTCTTTTATACTGATTTCATCCCTAGGGAATCAGGACACTATCCTTAATCAATAGGGTCCACAGGCCCTATCTTCAAATATAGTCAGTTGGGGTTAGGATGGAGGGACCCATACTCATTATGTATCATCCTCTCAGGGCAGAGACCCCTTGTCTCTGCATGTGCTGTCTAATCCAACCTCCGTCCAGTTGAAGACCCTCACTGGTACTGATGGACCACACAAAGTCTGGGCTGTTTTGGCGTGTGTACTCCTGCTCTCTAAGCAGGGTTGGAAGCGTGTTCTGAGATGCCCAGCAGAGTTGGTAATTGCCCAGGAAAAGAGCTGGCATGAAGCCAAAGAGTGTCCTGAGGGGCAGCTCTCTTGTGGAGGGGATGCCAGGCATCTCCAGTGGGAGACTCAAGTCTCTCTCCCTGGCTGGAAATGCACAGGGGCCTTTGGTGCAAAGGAGGCTACCTGGTTAGCTGCCCTTTTTGAAAAGGCTCAGAATCCTTAGGGTAGGGGATAGGGATCTCTCTGGATGGTGAGAATGCGTCCCCTGGGAATCAGACTCCACCCTGTAGACTTCTGTAGTATTTGTTTGAGGGAGGAGGGACTTCTGTAGTATTTGTTTGATGGAGGAGGGAGGCTTCCCTTGCACAGTGAGGCCAAGGTAGCAGCAGAGAGGCTAAGTACAGTCCAGGCAGGAGTGGGATTTTTTTCCCAGAGCCTGGAAACAGCCTCTGAGGAGCATTTCACTCTAAAAGCCTTAAAATGCTTATTAGCCAGCTCTCCCCAAGGAAGCAGGTCAGCGCCATTCTCTGCATTTATAAATGACAATGGAGGGCTCAGATGGCTGACTCCATCCAGCTGCAGAGCTGAATGGCTGCCACCAAGAGAGACAGAAAAGCCTAAAGAAGTCCTCAGAACCTAAACAGGCAGCCAGAAACCTGGGCATTCTCCTTTATCCGGCTTTCACACTGGCTTCCAGCACATCCTCTCTCAGGAATTCAGTGTTCCTATCTCTACAATGTGAGGGTTTGGGTAAGAGGGAGCACCTCATCTTCACAGCCCCCATCCTTGAGCCTAGGTATACAGAGTCTGCTGAGGGATCAGAGACACCTGGAGAAATCCTGTTCTCAGGCTGGGTGGGGCACACACTCTAGATTGTGACAGTGAGGGCTTCTGGGGAGGGCACTGAGCTGAGGAGGACTCAGATACATCTCTAGGGCATTGTAGGCTTTAGAGGACCAAGACAGCTCTCTGGGATGGCAGGGGAGAGGGAGTTCACAGGCTTCTTCTGTAAGCCCCTGACCTGGACACTAATTCCAGTGATACAGACTACCATCAAAAGATCTGGGCTGGGAAACGAGTTCCTCTTCCAACTGGGAGCATCCCCCATGGTATGTGACTTTGGCCACCTGCTCCACCATCTCCAGGCCTGTCCCTTGGCTTCATTTCTATAGCTGAGACTAGCCTTAAAGTTGTCATCCTTTGCCAGGCGGTGGTGGTGCACGCCTTTAATCCCAGCACTCGGGAGGCAGAGGCAGGTGGCTCTCTGTGAGTTCGAGGCCAGCCTGGGCTACAGAGTGAGTTCTAGGACAGCCAGAGCTGGTTGTCACCCTCCTGTGTGCTGAGGTCACAGGCATGCATTGACTTGTCACTTCTAGACAATGCAGCACACATTGTAACTACCTTACCTGTTGTGGTGGCAACTGAATTGACAGGAACTGGAAACTTGACAAGTCACAGATATACGGTGTCTTTATTTTACCTTATTTTTAAATTACATTACATTAAATTTATTCTTACTCATTTATAGGTATACAGTGTTCTGCCTGCATGTGTCCCTGCAGGCCAGAAGAGGGCACCATTATAGGTGGTTGTGAGCCACCATGTGGGTGCTGGGAAACTGAACTCAGGACCTCTGGAAAGAGCAGTCAGTGCTCTTAACCCCTGAGCCATCTCTCCAGCCCCATAAGTTTAATTTTTTTTTTTTTTTTTTTTTTTTGGCTTTTTGAGACAGGGTTTCTCTGTGTAGCTTTGCGCCTTTCCTGGAACTCACTTGGTAGCCCAGGCTGGCCTCGAACTCACAGAGATCCGCCTGCCTCTGCCTCCCGAGTGCTGGGATTAAAGGCGTGCGCCACCACCGCCCGGCTTAATTTTGTTTTTGAGGCAAGATCTCATGTAGTCCAGACTGACCTCAAACTCCTTGAGCTTGAACTTAAAAAGAATCATTT